CGAGTTTATCGATGTTGCGAAGTACTTGATGCAGCTGCTGCAGCCGTGGCTGCTCGTCTCGTCCGAGGCCGACCTGGAGCTCTACTCCCGCACGCTGGTCGACGGCACCATGCTCAAGGCCGTGGCAAGTGCTGTCGATTCTACACCGTACTACAGCGCGTTGCTCTCGGAGCTCACGCAGCCCAAGATGATCGTGGCCATGAAGGAGATGGCCCCCCATATGACGAAGATCGAAACCGACTTGGACGACTCTCCCATTGACGAGGTGTTGCCGCACTTGGCCCAAGCGTGCACGCTGCTGCACCGATTGACCGCTCGCTTTCCAGTCAGTGTCTTCAAGACGTTCGAGGGGCGCGTCCTGGCCAAGGGCCTTGAGCAGATCCAGGTGATGAGGAGCACCACCAGTGACAATGCCAATGCCATCACCTTGGATAAGTTGAACATCGCCAAGGATGCGTTTGAGGGGCTGGGCTCGGCCTTCCCGACAGACGCGCGCTGGCCAGAGGTGATTGGCGAGATCGTTGCGGTCAAGCAGAGCATCCAGCTCGGCGCCAACCGCGAGGACATCCAGAAAGCAGTCGACGGTGTTCTGAAGTCGGCAAACAAGGAGGCGGCCTTCTTGGCGCTGGCAGACAAGGTGAACGGGTCGATGGGTATGAAGATCGATGCGTCCGATGCTCGCGCTTATACCGATAGCTTATGCGAGATGACCGAGTACTTGACTAAGGAGGCCCCCGCACTTGATCCCACGGACATGGCACCTATTACGAAAATGGCTGAGAACCTGGACACGTTCGCGAGCTTCGTCTACAAGGGCCTGCCAGATGTGCCGCAGAAGATCAAGGATGTTGTCACGGCCCTCGGGGCATCGTTGAAGCTGGCGGCCGCGATCAGCGAAGCGAGGCACGCGTATTCCAACATCGCAAATGATGCTGCGTGCTCGAAGTTGATTCAGGCTACGTCCAGCCTCCATCGGAGCAAGCTGGACATCGATAAGATGATGCAGGGTGGCCTCGACGAGATGTGCGGCGTCCGTGGCTTTGCTTCTGGCCTTCTCGCGGTGGCTGATGACTCGGTGAAGATGAACGCGATGGAGTCACAGAAAGTTGTCATGACCGCCGTTGAGGGGGACGTCAGCTTCCTCACCCCGATTCGTTTCGGGATGAAGGGCAATGCGAAGTGGCTTGATGGTTGCCCCGCCAAGGCGGTGAAAACGTTCAAGGGTTTGCAGGGCCACTTCAAGGACACGCTCGGCCAGCTGAAGGAGGCGCCCGAGCTCGACATCCACATCGATGGATTGAACCAGGCCCCTTGGGCCAGGAAAGGGCCCCCTCGCCACACACCCCTCCATTCCTCTTCCTCCTTCTGCCCCTCCTGTCCCCTCCTCCGCCTCTCACCCTTCCCCCTCCTCCCCGAGGGGGAGGGGGGGGGGGAGGAGGAGGAGGATGAGGAGGAGGAGGAGAGTGGGGAAGGGGGGAGGAGAGTGAGGATGATAAGGAAACAGAAGGAGCGACGGTTGGAGGAAGAGGAAGAGCGACGGGGGGGGGGAGGGGGAGGAGGAGGAGGAGGAGGAGGAGGGGCGACGGGAGGAGGAGGAGGAGGAGGATGAGGAGGGCGAGTGAGCGAGTGACAGAGTGAGAGGGCGACGAAGATGCAAGAGGGGGTATGGGAAGGAGGAGGGAACAAGAAGATGGGGGCTGGGCAAATGCGATGACCAGCATGAGGAAGAGGAGGATGGGGAGGAGAAGGAGGAGGATGACGACGAGGAGAATGAGGAAGACGAAAAAGGGAGCGAGGGCGGGTTAGCAGGAGGGGGGGAGGGAGGAGGAGGAGGCAGGAGGAAGAGGGAGGGAGGGGGCGTGCGAGGCTGGATGGAGGGGGGAAGGGGGAGGAAGGAGGAGGAGGAGGCGGCGGAGGAGGTCACCCTCATCCTTCTCCTCATCCTCTCGTCGCTCGCTTGCCAGGCTCTCGGCAAGTGCAGCGGCATCGAGAAGATGTTTGGCCACGGCATGCCAGAGACAGCCGCGGTGAAGGAGCTCCGCGGCGACGCCCTGCAGGTGCAGGTGATCGGCCTCCTCTTCCACTACTTCGAGAGCTTGGCCAAGGACAAGGTCAAGCTCCGCACCAAGGTGCTCGACGCTCTCGGCAAGCTCACGTCCGCGGGCTTGAAGGCGAAGGTGGTGCTGCCCGATGTGCTCTGGCAGGCCACGGAGAAGGCCAAAGCGATGAAGTTCTAAAGGTTAGTCTTCGACGAAGTTGGTCGTCGGGCTGGAGTCTCCGACAGCGCAGGTCAGAATGACCACGCGCGTCGTCGGAGACGCACGCCCGATGGCCGATGTCGTCGAAGGCGGGTGCATCACCACGGTGAGCTTCGTCGTGCACACGTTGACGTGGCTCGCGCGGCGAGCCGAGCGGCCGCGCACGGCGGCCGCGAGCCGAGCGCGGCCGCAGCTCGGACAGGGGTGCCCGCTAGAGTCGGGCAGTCGCACGGTGGGGCGCGATCGGGGATGAACAAAAACCTTGCGGCAAGATGCGCAAGCGACGGCGGGAAGGAGGACGAGGAGGGAGGATGAGGAGGTGGGGAGAGGAGGAGGGAGGGTGAAGGGGTGGGGGGGGACCCGAGTGGGAAGAGTAAGAGTGGGAGGGTGGAGGGAACTGAGGGACAGGGGAGGGTGGGGACGGTGTTCTCTCCTCACCCCTCCTCCCCTTTCCTCCTCCTCTACTTTCCTTGCCCTCCTCCCCCTCCTCCTCCTCCTCCTTTCCCCCCCCCTCCTCCTCCTCCTCCTCCTCCTCCTCCTCCTCCTCCTCCTCCCCCTCCTCCTCCTCTTCTCCCCCTCCTCCCCCTCCTCATCTCCTCCTGCCCTCCTCCTCCTCCTCCTCATCCCTCTCCTTCCTCCTCTTTACTCTCGAGAAGAGTACGCCATTCCCCCGATCCCATCCGGCCTCCTGGTGGCCCTCTTGGGGCTTTTTCGGGCCACTTGGGGATTCTCTTGGGAATCCTGAGTCTGCTCTTTGGGGTTGTACGTGTGACTACGTGAACGTGCAAAGAACTATTCATCTACATGGCTTTTTGCAACTATATTGTTTTAAAGTTCGAACCACATTTTAAAGCACGTTGTGGGAAGGGCCCAAAACAACTCCACAACGACTCTGTGAACTACTTCCACAGAGGGGCTCTTGGAATAGCCTTTGTGAGGCAGCCAGCGTCACAACCCAAGAGCGCTTCGAGACGCCCCTGGAGGCCTTCACGAGGGCCCCAAGACGGCCCCAGACGGCCCAAGAGGGCCTCCGAAAAGGTCCAAGAGCGCTCCAAGACGTCCAAGATGGCCTCCTGACGGCCCAAGAGAGCTCGAACAAGGAAAAATCGTCCCAATCCTTAGGAGAGACTTGCACTTTTGCAATTCCCGCACTTTGCGTCCGCAACGCGTCCAAGACGGCCATACAGGCCCCCAAGATCGCCCCAAGACGCCCCAAGATGGCCTCCAGGGAGCCCCAGAACGGTCCCAGGCGGCCCCAGGACAGCCCAAGAGGCGCCCAGGACAGCCCAAGAGGGCTCGAAGAGCGGCCCAAGACGGGCCCGAGACAGCCCTAGAGGAGACCACCCTAAACAGCTTGACACGGCCCAAGAGGCGCCCAAGACGGACCCAAGAGGCCCAAAGGAGGCTTCCAAGTCCTTCCAAGAGACGTGCAAGAGGGCTCAGAAGCAAAATTAGTCCCACTCCCGAGGAAAGACGCACAATGTAACATAGATCGCCCCACCACGCCCTAAGAGGACTTCCAGGGGCCCCAGGACGGTTCAAGGCGGCCCCAGGACAGCCCAAGAGGCGCCCAGGACAGCCCAAGAGGGCGGCGCAAGACGGGCCCGAGGCAGCCCCAGAGGCGACCAAGACCGCCCTACATAAACGGCCTAAGACTTTGCAGCGATCCGTGTCCGACATCTCCCTCTCTTCCTCCACTGCTGCTGTACATGTTTCGTCCAAGATGTCTCGCCTCGCCGCCACCCTCCTGAGAAGCCGAAGGACCTCTGAGGGCGGTATGGGCAATGAGTGTTTCAAGTGAGAGGGTAGGGGTAGTCGGAATTTCAATCTCAGTAGGGTGTTTACCGAGACAGCGAGGCGAACGAATAGGCGATCTCGTTCGCTCTCCTCAGTACGCTGATGGACCATTTTCCACACAGCGCACAAAACTTGAGCCGAACAGTTCCGGGCGAAAACTTGCCTCGCAGGAGTGGCGTTGCCACCACCCCCGTGAGACTTCGCAGGAGTGGCGTTGCCACCACCCCCGCGACACTAAGACGGCGCACTGTGGCAATCTAAACGGTCGCCGCTCTGGTGTATTCAAGAGTCGATGCAACACAATGGCAGCACATGTATCACATGCGGTGGCGTCTACCCAGCCGGGACCTTCCGGTGTGAAATGTTCCCGGAGAGGCCTCCGGGAACATCAGAAAGCACAGGCGTGAAATGTTCCCGGAGAGGCCTCCGGGAACATCAAAAAGCACAGGCTCGGCAGAGCCGAAATTCGTGACATTTTCGTTGCCGTGAGCTGTTCTATCAGCTCTTCTCAGTCGGAACGAACAACTGCCGCCTGTATGGTATGGGAGAAACTCTGACATCCGAGGATGGGCTGGCATCCCCCAGCAACGCTACTGACAAAAGGGGGCGTGGCAAAAAGGGGGGGTGTCTTGAGCCACTGCTGACTACTCATGCCGATGCTATCCCGATGCTCCCCTGTCCCACGCTCCTCCTCTTCGGTCCTCCCGGCCAGGAGCGGCCGAAGCTTCGCGAGACAGATGGCTCGCAGGGGCAAGGGGGATCGGCAAAACACCAAAAAGAAATCGCGCAGCAACGGAAAACATGCAATGACGGAGCCAAAGCAAAAAATCGGCAATGGCCCCGGACTCGGGCGCGTGCACTCCCTGTGGCTGGTTCCTAACAGGAAGTCCAAAACCGAGATTAAACATAAATAGCAAAGGCGCTCCAGGATGCTCATTGATCCCCTCACCACGCAGGCGGCTGCAGGCGGCGCGCACCGGCAGCAGCCGCGGCACGGTCCAGCAGCTCGACGACCAGCTGCAGGCCGAAGTGGGCGCGGATGCGGCCCATCACGGCGGCAGCGAACACCTTGGTCAAGCCGTCGGCCCGCTGCTCCTCCGAGGACACCTTCTTGAGCAGCAGCGTTCCCATGCCTACCCGGCTGCGCAACGCTGCGGCTCGATTAGCAAGCGCACGCGTGCGCCAGCTGCCCTGCCCCTCGGCGATGAGGAGGCTGGCGGTGTTGTCACCCCAGAGCGTCGGCGTAGAGCCGCACGTGCCGACTGCGATGCTGGCCATGGTCGCCTCCGCGCCCTCCAGCATCGTGACACCCATGTTCAAGGCAGTGATCTCTGCCTCGGCGGTGCTGCGGGCCACCTGCGGTTGCTTCTGGCTCCGCCAGTCGATCAACGCGCCACCGCAGAACACCGCCACTCCCGTCTGAGCGGTCTCCACCTCGAAGCTGGCGTCTGCGAAGACGTCCAGGCTGAGGGAGGACAGCTTGGCGTAGCTGGCACTCGGGTCTTCTGGGCCCCAGCCGATCACCAGGGCGAACCCACGAGTGCCGATCAAGTACCGCAGAATGCGCTTGCCCAGCCGCAGCGCCCAGTCGGGATGGCTGCGGGCAAAGCTGCTGAGACGCGAGGTCGCGAAAGACACGTCGGGGCGCGACCTCGTAGCAAGCCAAAGCAAGCCTCCTGCCATCCGCTGGGCCGCGCGGACGGCTGCTGGGTCGGCGTCGCCCTCCTCCGGCGCGCGAGGAGGCGGAACGGGCTCGAGCGCGATGGTGTGCGTGCCGTTGGCGTCGCACAGGCCCCACTTGGCGAGCATGTCGTCCAGGTAGGGGCCCTGGTGCACAATCAGCTCGGACCCTCGCGCCTCGATCTCCAACCCCAGGTAGGTCACCTTCCCCGGCGCTTCCCAGCCGATCCGGCTCTGGACCGAGCATGTCCACGTAGCCTTCAGCAGCGACTCCAGCTCGTCCAACGCCCCGTCGGGCCCCAAGCAAAGGAAATCGTCGACGTAGACGAGAAGGAGGCCGAGCAAGAGGCGGTCCGACTCCAGCTTAGGCTCCGCCGCAGCGACCACCATCCAGACACTGGGGTCGCACCTGCTCTGGACCAGCTTCGCCGGCACGCCGTCGACCAAGAACTGCATTGCCCTCATTTCGTTGTCACGCTTGGCACCCCAAGCCCTGGGGGCAATCCGCAGACCATAGATCCCCTTGTTCGCAACCCAAAGCACGTCTGGTCCAACGAGGCCCAAATCGACGAAGAGCTTGGGAGGGCGAACAACGACGCGACCGGCCTCGGGGGGAAGAGGGGCATTGAGAAATGCCGTGCTCACGTCGAGAGCTTGGAGCTTCCACCTGCACCGAGCGGCCACAACCAGGGCCAAGCGCACGCTGGAGATCTCGACGTTCTGCGTGTAGACGACCTCGTCGGGCTGCTTTGCCTGGAAGTTCCCGCGCACCACGCCCCTGATCTTCTTCCTTCTCCTCTGCTGGGCGTCCCCTGGTTTGGGAGGCTTGATGCCGGCGACGACCTTCATCGGCAGGATCTCGCTGGCTCTCACTCCGCCGCGGTCCGCAGCGGGTAGCTCGTCGAACACCGCGCTCGACCTATAGCTGGACAGTTCGGCCGCCATCGCCTGGAACCACTCCTCCCTCTCGGCTCCCACGGCGCGCCGGAGCTCCAGGCCGGTCACGGGCTGCATCCCCGAGTCCTTGAGCACCTCGCGGAACTCGGGCAGAGACGCGTCGGCCATGCCGTCGTCGTCAGCATCGCTCCCAGCCGCGCGGGTCGCGGCGGCCACCGCCGGCGTCCACAGCAGCTCCTCCTGATGACCACTCGCACGCTGCGCGGTCGGCCCGAAGTCCACGAACCGCTCCCCCAGCGCCGAGGCCCTCGGAATCCTGATGTCCCCGGAGGCCTCTCCGGGAACATCTCGGGCCGGCTGCTTCTCGCGGTAGCGCCTCCTCTGCTGGCCTGCGGAAGCTGGCGCAACCGGGGCAGGGCCCCTCCTGCACGTATCATCGCGCTTGTGAGCCTGGTGGGCACCGTGGCACGCAGGGCAGGTGATCGCCCCGTCGGCTTGGTCGATCCGGAGCCCATCGCTGTCACCAGCGCCATTGTGACCTGCTGCGTGTTCCTCCTGGGCTCCTGCTGCATCCTCCTCCTGAGCTCCTGCTGCAACCTCCTCCTGAGCTCCTGCTGCAACCTCCTCCTGAGCTCCAGCTGCAGCCTCCTCCTGAGCTCCTGCTGCGTGACCTGGCTGCCGGGCGGATGCCGCTTCGCCGGAAGCGGCCGCAGCTGCGCCGCCTGACGACTCGACCAGCGAGCGGCGCGGCGGCGGCGGGTGCGGGATGAAGCTGGATGAGGTCTCGAACACCCACTTCGTCACGCCCAGCCTGGTCTGCTTGAACCCCACCAGCGCCGACTGCGACACGTAGTCGGCGATGCCCAAGAACACCCTGTCGGCGGCGCGAGGCGCGAAACCGAAGACCACTGGCTGCTTGATCTTCGCCGCAACCATGCTGCCGAAGGCTGGGCACGAGGTCGGGCGGCCCTGCGCCTCGCGCCTCTGCAGCGCGGCGGCGTGCTGCACCGCGGCGGGCCACAGCTGCTCGCGGTCGGCCGGCTCCAGCACGACCAACATGGCGCGAGCGCGCTGCTTGATGACCCCGATGCCCCTCTCAGCCCGTGCTGGTTACAAGGATCTCATGCCCTGCCAATCGCTCACGAACTCGAGGTCCCGAGAGCTCGCGAGCACCATCGGCATGTAATCGAAAGACGCACCGCGTCTGGAACTCCAAGCTCACCTCCGCAACGATGAGCTCGAGAGCCTTTCCCACCTCGTCGGCCGCCTTGGTCTGCAGCGGACGCGTGTAATACCATGTGCGGCGGCCCTTCGCCGCATCGCCTGGCAGGTCCACCAGCAGCTCCGCGGGCTCCTCGATGACCTCGCCGTCGAGACCACTTGGCACTGCTTCGAATGCCACCGCCTCGAAAATCGCCGCTCGCTGAGCGACCGCGCCCGCCGGCCCTCCGGTCGAACCCCCGGCGCTTCCGGGGTCGGCAAGGCCGTCCTCCTTGCCCACCTCCACCTTCGAGCTGTCCCGCGCGAAGCGCTCGTTCTTGACCGCAGCCTCCTGCTCGGCCACGGTGAAGACGGAGTAAGCGCACAGCAGGAAGAAGCGGGCCCGGCGAGGACTGTCCTCTTGCAGAGCCGACGGCCACCGTGCATACGGATGTGGACCAGAGATGTCCGCCGACATCTGCCCGCCTGGCCGCGTGCTGGCGTCTAGGCGCCAGTGGGGCCGATGCCGGCCAGCGGCTAGACGGCACTCCGCGCAGTCAGGGCGGAAGTGCGGATGCCCTGCAGCCCGGTGCTGCTCCAGGCTCTGCTGCACCACCGCGGCGCGGACGCAGTCCACGAACCTGGACGCGCCGATCTGCGCGCGGCGCAGGCGGCGCATGCCTCGGAGCACCTCGGCCTGCGCCTCCGAGATGAAGACCGAGCCGTCGCGGTCCACGACGAGCTCGAGGGCGCGGCCGCCGGGCAGCGAAATGGCCGCCCGAGCAGGGCCCCACAGCATGCTCAACTCCAGCTCGTGGACGTACACGGAGATGGGGAACAAGGCCTGCAGCAACGTCTACGACACGGCGTACACCACTTGGTCCTCCGACATGTAGACCTCGCCAGCGGCCTGCCCCACGGCAAGGCCTAGCTTGATGGGCACGCTGCCCGGCGGCGGGGCCTGGGAAGGCCAGAGGTGCCGCAGCTCGTGGCTAGCGCCCGAATCGCACAGCAGCATCTCTGCCCTGATGCGTCCATGGCGCGACGCGGCGACGGTGGCTCCCTGAGGATCCAAGCGCAGCATGCGCGTGACAGGCTGCTGCGGCTGCTGCGGCGGCGGACGCGCGTCGGGCAGTGCGAACGGATCGCCTGCCTGGCCGCTCCAGTCGGCCCGGTAGCCGCTGTCGGCCTGCGCGGCGAAGCTCTGCATGGCGCGCGCGACCGCCTGCTCGATGCTCTCGGCGCTCAGCGGCTGCTCAGACGCAGTGGCCGCAGCTGCCCTAGGGGGCTGCTGCTGCTGCTGACCCCCGGCGGAGGCGAGCGGCCGAGGCGCAGTGCACTGCGCCTTCGGGTGCTGCTTGCTGCCGCAGTTGAAGCACTTGTTCTCGTGGGGCTCCAACTTGCGGTGCTTGCGCGTGCACTGGCCTCCGTTCCTGCAGCCCTTGTCGGACTCGAAGTGCCGGCACAGCTCGAGGCCAGTGGCGGCGGCGGCATGCGCATCCTGCTTGCCACCCTTGCCCTTGTCGTCCTTTGCCTTGCTCTTGCCGCTCTTGTCCTTGCCGCTGCCCTTGGGGCTCGCCGAGCCCTTGGCCTTAGCCAGGGCGGCCTCCAGGCGAGCGATCTGAGCGCGGACGCCGCGATCACCGGCAGCGGCCTGCTTGGGCTGCGGGGGCGGCGTGTCCGAAATCTCGCGGCTCTCCGCAGACAGGTACCTCCAGTACTCGTCCACCTGCCGCTGGGTCGCCGTGGACGCACCGCTGAGGCCGTGCTGCGTCTCGAACGAGTTCAGTCGGAACTCGAAGGTGTGGGACTGCTCAATCATGCGGCCCACCATCGTCCTGAGCGTTGCCAGCTGCACAACGGGATCGGGCGGCTGCATCTGCAGCCGCTGGAGCCGAACAAGATCGAACTGCCAGCGCTGCAAGCACGAGTGCACGTGCTTGACGTCGACGGGGCCCTTGCCCCGGCGCTCAACGGCCTCCGAAACGTCGGTCTTGTCCTTCAGCGTCCCCGGGCCTGCCCACACCAGCGTCGCGAACAGCACCTCCACCGTGCTCGTGGCTCGCGTCGCCAAGGCCTCCCGGCGCACAGTCTCCGGCACGCTCTCCAGCAGCACCGCCCTGAGCTTGAACTCGATGTCCAGGTAGCGGGCGTCGTCATGCCAATTCAGCCGTGGCTGGATCATCGGCCGGTCCATCGGCTGAAGCTTGAGGTACTCCTCATACGCCTGGTATGCCACCACCTGGACACGCTGGAAGAAACTCCCCATCAGGCGGTGCCAACCTCCGACTCGGAGTGCATCCCGCTGCAGCCAGTCCTCCAAGGCCGATGCCCGAGGCTGGTTCGAAGACACCTCCAACTTCTGCAAGTCGCCGTCCTTCAGCTTGGCCAAGACGGTGTCGAGGCCGCTCGCGCCGTCAGGGGCGCTGATGGCTGCAGCGGCGGCGGCGCCACCAGGAGGTGGTGGAGGAGGCGGAGCACCTCCTACCGGCATGTCGCCTCCATGTCCGCGTCCTGGGTCATCTGCTCCCCCGCCGCCTCCACTCGGGAAGCCTCCACCCCCGCCGCCTCCACCTCCAGGGTATCCTCCTCCTCCGCCTCCGGCTCCAGGAAATCCTCCGCCTCCGGGGCCAGGGAATCCTCCGCTTCCAGCTCCAGGAAACGGCGCCGGCAATCCTGCCGGAGGCCACGGCGGCGGCAGCCCAGGCGGCAACCCGCCAGATTGCTGAGACGGCTGAGGAGGCTGCAACGGCTGGAAGGCGGCCCGCGCCTGCGGCCCTTCGGCCGCAAGCATCGCCGAGGCAGGGGCCGATGCGGCGGGGCCCGAAAGACCATCGGGCAGTAACACTGCAGCGGCACCTGCAGCAGATGGCTGCTGCTGCTGATGATGCTGCTGCTGGACTGCCGGCGCCGGGGTCGAAGCCACAGGCGCCGAACCTGCAGGGGAAGGAGTCGTAGCCGAAGTCGTCGTAGTCGCTGCAGGCAGCGCCTGCGCGCCGAAGAACTCCGCCCTTCTGTCCACCTCCTGACCCCCGCGGGCGAGGAGCTCCAAGGTCGCCGACGCCTGGGTGATCAGCCCATCGCCTGCGTGAGGAACGTCCTCGCCAAGTACTCCATGTGCGCCGACCTGCGCACTCTGGCCTCCACTCGCCGTGGCCGTCGGCGGCTCCTCTGAGCTGGGAGACGCTGGCGCCGCGACCTCAGCCTGGTCAGCGGCAGTCGGGGTGAGGTACCCCGCAGATGGAACGGCTGCCCTGGCGCGCTCGGCAACCCGCTCCGCCTCAAGTTCAGCATTCCGCCGGCTGAGGCTGTCGACCTGGAGGCGGAGGTCGCGAAGCTCCGCCAGCATCAGGCCCATCACGCCTTCATGTTGTTCGTCCTGGCCCGCCGGGGCCGGCATGGTTCCAGCGCCCTCGACGCTGGGCCCCGTGATCGGCAAAACTGGGTGTGGCATCATCGCGCCTGCACTCCAAGTCTGCCTCACGCCTGCGGCCGCGCCCAGCGCCAGCCGCTGCACTCCTGTGGCGGCCGTCGAGATGGTGGCGCCGAGGGCGTGGCCGACCATCTGGGCCGAAGTCGCCGCGGTCCTCCCCACGGTCGCGGCCACGTGCCCGCCCCAGGCCGCCTGCCGCTGCGCGTAGACGATGTCCCGCTCGACGTAGCAGGCGTGGCACACCGCGTGGCCCTGGTAGGGGGCCATGCAATGGGCGTGCACCTCCATCCCGCAGATCGTGCACGTGACCGAGGGGCCGATCACGTGATCGCCGCAAGCTCGGCACCGCGCGCGCAGCAGCGCAGCAGGCGGGCCAAGCGCAGCGGGGAGCACTGCGCCCTGGTAGGGACTTGGGCTCATAACCCTTCGCAGCGATCCGTGTCCGACATCTCCCTCTCTTCCTCCACTGCTGCTGTACATGTTTCGTCCAAGATGTCTCGCCTCGCCGCCACCCTCCTGAGAAGCCGAAGGACCTCTGAGGGCGGTATGGGCAATGAGTGTTTCAAGTGAGAGGGTAGGGGTAGTCGGAATTTCAATCTCAGTAGGGTGTTTACCGAGACAGCGAGGCGAACGAATAGGCGATCTCGTTCGCTCTCCTCAGTACGCTGATGGACCATTTTCCACACAGCGCACAAAACTTGAGCCGAACAGTTCCGGGCGAAAACTTGCCTCGCAGGAGTGGCGTTGCCACCACCCCCGTGAGACTTCGCAGGAGTGGCGTTGCCACCACCCCCGCGACACTAAGACGGCGCACTGTGGCAATCTAAACGGTCGCCGTTCTGGTGTATGCAAGAGTCGATGCAACACAATGGCAGCACATGTATCACATGCGGTGGCGTCTACCCAGCCGGGACCTTCCGGTGTGAAATGTTCCCGGAGAGGCCTCCGGGAACATCAGAAAGCACAGGCGTGAAATGTTCCCGGAGAGGCCTCCGGGAACATCAAAAAGCACAGGCTCGGCAGAGCCGAAATTCGTGACATGTTCGTTGCCGTGAGCTGTTCTATCAGCTCTTCTCAGTCGGAACGAACAACTGCCGCCTGTATGGTATGGGAGAAACTCTGACATCCGAGGATGGGCTGGCATCCCCCAGCAACGCTACTGACAAAAGGGGGCGTGGCAAAAAGGGGAGGGGGTCTTGAGCCACTGCTGACTACTCATGCCGATACTATGCCGATGCTCCCCTGTCCCACGTAAGACGGCCCACGAGGCGCCCAAGACGGCCCCAAGAGGCCTCCAAGAGGCCCAAAGGAGGCTTCCAAGCCCTTCCAAGAGACATCCCAGAGTGCTTCGCCCCAAACCGTGGGAAACCGCACAATTTTAACAGATTCGCGTTCCTCGTGTCCACGGCGCCCACGTCGGCCATACAGGCCCCCAAGAGCGCCCCAAGGGGGCCTCCAGGGGGCCCCAGAACGGTCCTGGGCGGCCCCAGGACAGCCCAAGAGGCGCCCAGGACAGCCTAAGAGGGCTAAAAGAGGACGGGCCCGAGGCAGCCCTACGGGCGCCCAAGACCGCCCTAAACGGCCTAAGACGGCCCAAGAGGCGTCCAAGACGGCCCCAAGAGGCCCCCCCCCAAGCGGTCAAAGGAGGCTTCCCAGCCCCTCCAAGAGACGTCCAAGAGGGCTCCCAGAAGCAAAAGTCGCCCCAAAGCATTGGAAAACGCACAATTTGAACATATACGCTTTCCTGGTGTCCACGGTGCCCACGGCGGCCATACAGGCCATAAGAAAGCGCGGTCTCGTTGCCGCCGCCCCCGCCGCCGCCGTGCTTATAGGTTTTCGGCAAAGTCTTCGCCGCTCCTCCGAGAACCATTCCAGAAAGATGTCTTGGACGGAGTCCACGGGTCAGCCCTAGTCTTCTTCTCGACAATGCAGGGACCCGTGCGTGCGGGAAGGGTCCCTGTCTTGATCGCCTGAAAATACCCCACAACGGCTCCGGGGACGCCCCAGAGGCGCTCACGCGGCCCAAGAGGCGCCCAGGACGGCCCCAGACACCCCCAAAACGGCCCAAGAGCGCTCCAAGAGAGCTCAAGACCGCCGAAAACGGCCCCGACAAGGCCCAGGAGGCCTCCACGACGGCCCCAGAGACGCCAAAGAGGCGTCCCAGGATGGCCCCCACAGGCCCAAATCATTGTTTCTCCAACGAAAAACGTCAAGTTTTAGCACACACGCACACACACACACACACACACACACACACTGCTTGTCGGGAATATGGCGCACAAGATGGGACAAGAGGTCCCCACGACCGCCCCAAGACGGCCCAAGAGGCCCCCCAGAGGCACGAAAACCGGCCCGAGAGAGCGTCAAGAGACCCAAGAGGCGCCCAACACGGCCCCAAGAGGCGGCCCCAAGAGGCTCCCAGGAGGCGCCCAGGACGGCCCCACACACCCCCAAGACGGCCCAAGAGCGCTCCAAGAGGGCCCAAGACCGCCGAAAACAAACCCAAGACGGCCCAGGAGGCCTCCACGACGGCCTCAGAGACGCCCAATAGGCGTCCAAGGATGGCCCCCAGAGGCGAAAATTTTTAGCATGCGCTGCTTGTCGGGAATCTGGCGCAGAAGCTGGTTCCAGGTCCCCACGACCGCCCCAAGACGGCCCAAGAGGCTCCCAAGACGCACGAAAACCGTCCCGAGAGTGCGTCAAGAGAGCCCAAGAAGCGCTCAAAACGGCCCCAGGGCGACACCAAGAGGCTCCCAGGACGGCCCAAGGTACCCCAAGACGCTCCAAGAGCGCTCCACGACAAGCCAAGACTGCCTTTTGCGGCGCCAAGACGGCCCAAGACGCCTCTACGACGGCCCAAGAGACGCCGAAGAGGCTTCCCAGGAGGGCCCCAGGAGGCCACAACTATCGCTTTCCCGACGGAAGCCGTACACATGTCAGCATCTCTGGCTTTCCGGGTTTCATGGCGTAGACGACGGCGCAAGAGGCCCCCAACACCGCCCCAAGACGGCCCAGGAGGCTCCCACAGGGGATCCACCCCGCCCGACGGAGCGTCAAGACATGTAGCCGAAGAGCCGCCCAAGACGGGCCGGCAGGGCCCTCCTCCTCCTCCTCCTCCTCCTCCTCCTCCTCCTCCTCCACCTCCTCATTCCACGCCGTCCCCTCCACCCTCTCCTTACCCGCGAGGCCCCAGAGACGCTCCACTTCCATGTCCACGCCATGGCGGGCAGATTCCGCGGCCGGAAGGCCGCGGGTCTGCCCTAGTCTATACGATATGGCCGGAGGAACCGCGTGCCGGAAGGAAAAAGCGCCACATGCCCAGAAACGGCTCCGAGACGCTCCGGAGGCCGCCCCGACGGCCCAAAGACGGCTCCGAGCCGCTCCAAGACGGCTCCGAGCCGCTCAAGATGCCCCGAAGGCGGCCCAAGAGGGCCCCGAGACGCGCAATGATCTGGCCAAGACGCCCGAGATTGGCCCAAGACGGCCCACGAGCCCCCCAAGACGGCCCAACATGCCTCCCAAGAGGCCTCCCAAGAGAGCCCCGAGAGGCCAAAATCGTTGATTTTCATTTGCTTTTTTCCGAGGTTTTTTGCTTCCTCGCTTTTTCGGCTTCCCGACGCTCCGAACCCCCCCAAGAGGCATCCAAGACCGCCTCAAGACGGTCGAAGAGGACCCCAAGACGGTCCAAGAGGGCTCCAAGACGGTCCAAGGCGGCCCCAGGACGGCCCCAGAGGCGCCCAAAACAGGCCAACGGGACCCCAAGATGGGCCGAAGAGCGGCCCAAGATGGCTCCAAGACGGCCCGAGGACCGCCCAAGAAGGCCCTAGGGGGCCCCAAGACAGCCCAAGGGGCGCGATAGACGAGCCCAGAGAGGACCGCCTCAGGAGGTTTTGGACGGTTTTGGGCGTCAAAATCATCCGCGTCACGACGGTTTTGGAAGGATTTTGGCCTTCTCGCTTTTTCCGCTTTCCGACGTTCGAAGACGGCCCAAGAGGCCTCCAAGAGCGCCCCAGAACGGCCCAAGAGGTTTCCAAGAGCGCCCCAAGACAGCCCAAGAGGGCCCCAAGACGACCCAAGAGACGCTCAAGACGGCCCACGAGGGCCCGAAGACAGGCCCAAGAGGGGGCCAAGAGGGGGACCACGGACCGAAAATCCTAGCATTCTGGCCGAAGAGGGCGCCAGGAGGCCCAAACAGGCCCCCAAGAGGCCCCAAGGGGCCGCCAAGAATCCCCCAAAGAGGCCCCAGGAGGCTCCCAAGGAGCCCAGACGAGGCCCAACAGAGGCCCCAACAGCTTCCAAAATGGCCCCAAAGAGACCTCGAGCCCGCCTCCGAGCTTCCTCTCCGCGAGGGTGCCAACGCGGCCCCACACGGGCCAGGACGGCCCAAGGCGCGCTCAAGACGGCCCAAGACGATTCCAAGACGGTCCCAGGAGGGTGCGCCCAGGACGCACCCGGTCGGGGCCTCAAGACGGGCCAAGATGGCCAGAGAGTTCAGCTGGCAAAAATTGTTAATTTTCCATTGTTTACTGTTACATCCTTTGCGTTTCCCGCCGTTTCGGCGGTCCGATGAACCAAGAGGCCCCAGAAAGTCCCAGGAGGGTCCGAGGAAACGCCCAGGAAGGCCCCAAGACGGGCCAAGACGGACCCAGCACAACCCAGGGCGCGCTGCGACGGCTCAAGACGGCTCCAAGACAGCCCCAAGAGGGTGCCAACACGGCCCCTGCTGGGCCCAGGACAGCCCAAGGAGGCGCGCACAGGAGGAGCCCAAGACGACTCCAAGGCGGCCCCCTCGCGGTCCCAGACGGCTCCAAGACAGCCCCACGAGGACCCCGATGGGCCCAGGACGGCCTACGGACGGCCCATGAGGGGCCCACGACGAACCAAGACGGCCCCATCACGGCACACGGCGCCCTCAAGACGGGCCTGGACGGCTCCAAGATGGCCCTTTGAGGGAGCCAACGCAGCCATCCCTTCGGGCGCACACTTGGGGGGGCTGGGAGCTTGCGACAAGTCTACCACATTCATTGTCCTGCCCCATTCTGTTCGCCTGGAGGCCTCCTCCAACCCTGTGGGCGAACAAGAGGAAACCCAGCGGGCCGCCAACCCTGGGGCCCGTGGGCCCCGCGCCGCTTGGGCAGAAGACGAACGCCGGGTCTGACAGGCCAGCTACCGCCCCCCTTTGCCCGATATGCTGTGCCATTCTGTTCCCCCAGGGGCCTTGGCGAACTCTTCGGGCCAATCAGACCGGACCCCTGGGACAGCAGTCAATTGATATGACCCTGGGACCTCTCCGCATTCTTCGGACGAGCACCTGGGGGGCCCAGGAGATTTGGACAAGTCTTCCCCATTCCTTGCCCTGTCCCGTTATGCTCGCCCGAAGGCCTCCACAGACCCTCTGGGCGAACAGAATGGGACATGGCGAACAAACTCTCCCGTTGGCGGTGATGCGACCGGATCGCACCATCAAGGTGCGCCCGGAGGTGATGGCCGACCCATCAGCGGTTTCTCTAAAGATTCTACAGAGTTTCAAATTTTCTTGAAGCTCTCTTGTGCCCTCCCTGTAGATCCTTGCGAGCCTCCCCGGCGCTTTCGGTGGCTTTCCCCGATGGCCTCCCGAGCCCTTCCCCGAGCGCTCCTGAGACGCCTCAGACGGGCTTCGACTTCGACGCACATCCCCGAGAGACTTCGAAACTGTCCTCAATAGGAGGGGGGTGAACGAGCAGTGCGCTGGGCCAAGCTGCTGGAACGCTGCCAGAGCTCGGACACGAAGGCGCGGTCTCGCTGCCGCCGCCCGAGCCGCCGCCGTGTTTGTAGATTTTCGCTACAATCTGCGCCGTTCCTCCGAGAACCATTCCAGAAAGATGTCGTGGACGGAGTCCACGGGTCAGCCCTAGTCTGCTACAACGCTGGGGTTAGCGCGTGCGAGAAGGGCGCGCAGTGGCAGCGAGCCCTGTGCATGCTCAGCGAGATCTAGGTGGCGAAGTTGAAGTTCGAGCATGTGTCTGCCATCAGCTACGCGAATGTGCGTAGGCAGGGGCAGCATTCGGAACATAGCTGCCCACGGAGATGAGCTACACGGAGTTGGACTCTGACCTGGTCATCGATGCTTTTTTAAGCAGATACGATGGCCAGCGACATCGTTGGGATCGGGGCGCGCATGTGGAGGCCAAGGTCAGCGCCAGGGCAAGCGCGCGCGAAAGGTCCACCCAGCGACTGCTGGCCCTGCTGCTGCTCAGGACGCGCGAGAGGCGAAACCGGAGCCCGACGGCTACCCACGCATGAGAAGGCATCCCGAGCGCCGCCCCCCACGCGAGGTCTCCCGAGCAGGTTTGGGCTCCTCTGCTCCGACCTGATCCGAGGTCTCTGAGGCCCCCAGTGCCCTCCGACGTCGCCAGAGAGGCAGTGACGAAACCCATGATTTTTGCAGACGACGCTGCCACCCACAGCCGCTCAGCTGCGCAGGGATGATTCAGCGCACTTGACCAATCCTCGAGAAGGGGTTCGGGCTTGGTTCCAAGATCTTACAGGTCAGACCTCGACTGGACACATTTATATTTGCCGTATTTGCCATGCTCCCTCTTTCATCCCCTCCTTTTCTTAGCAAAGGCGAGGGAGCGATCCTCCCTTACTCCATCGTGTTCGTCATTCTTGTAACCTCCTATTCCCTCCCCCCGTCCTGCTCGACCTTGACGTCCAGTTGCCCCTACTTTCCTTTTCCTTCTGGTTGCTATGATAATCCAGGTCACCTGGTCCTCCGTCTTCTCCTTTCCCGTTTACGTGTCCTCTGGTTATTTGTGCTACCCATTATTGTTCCCATTACTTTGCCTTGCTCCTGCGGATGATGCTTATACTTCGGCTCCAAGATCTCCATATGCTACTATACATGCTCCACTTCCTGTGCTGTCTGTTGCTGCAGCTGCTGCCGAGGCGCAGTGTCACTATTGCTGCCACCGTTGCCCCTACTGTCAGCGCCTGCGACGTCGGAACCTGTTCATAGTTCAAGGTTCAAGTCCTATCATGGTTTCCCGCGAGCGGCAGGACTCTGTGAGAAACCGTCTCGAGTCGAAGTGCGACATAACCGCAATCTGCGTTATCCTCTATGGGATTGCCGCACTCCCAACCTCGGGCATTTGCAAGTGGAAAGATATTTTGCGATAGACGAGTACGCGCCCAGATGATCATTTGACAGGGATGAAGAGAGGGAGGCAATAACAAGTTAGCTGGAATGATATGAGGTCTTGCGGAACATCAGCGATGAGACGTAATCATCTGTGGTTGGCTGTGTTCCAGGGTCGGGGCGATAACCCCGGCGGGAGAGAAGTGGTGGAGCTCATTTGGTTTTTGAAAGCAGAGCCTACCTGGTACAATCTAGCCAGTGCAAGTTGCGTAGTGACATCGACCTCGTGCAGTGCACGGGGTGCAAGATGTGTGATGCAACATGTGTGGTACAATCTACGCGTGGGAAGATACATCTGCACAGTAGTATGCATGTGTAATCATACATGCATCGGCTTATACACATCTATTTATATATATGTATATACATCTATGTGTATGTGTTTAGTTGTGCATGCAGACGCATACATAACATGTGCCTGGAAACGCCAGTCAGCACAAGGGACGGGCAGGGAACGGGCACGAGAGCCCACTGGCAGGAAGCCCACGCACGGGGCGGACACAGGGTGCGCACGACCAAGACACGCCAAATTTTACCTGGTCAGGAGAGCAAGAGTTATTCAGTGCCAGTCGTGTTTGAGAGAGTTCCCCTCCCATTGTTACTGCTCTTGGTTTGGCTCCTGCTGCGCAAACCGCTGCCACAACCGCCACCGCCGCCACTGCCATGACGACAGACGCGGGCCTTGCCACCTCCAGCACCCGAGTGGCTTTCAGATCCCCGACAGGGCGGGCCGCTGGAAGCGGCCGTGGCCGCAGTCTCCAGTGGCAGTGCGGGAGGCAGCAGCTCTCTTTTCGCCATCAGAGAGGAGGGCATAGAGCGGGGCAGGGTGAGTAGCAGGGAGGAGAAGAGTGGGGATGAATGTGGGGGGGCCAGCAAGTTCTGGAATGGTCTGGCAGAGAAACTTGTTGCGATAACCTCGACGTGTCTCATTGCAACTTACTCCCACGGTAAGGAGGCCAGGGTCTATTCGACCTTCTGTTTTCCCCCACTCGATAGGTTGGAGTTGTTCTAATCCTCCCAAAAAAGCTTGCCCGTCAGCGCTGTGGACCGCGGCCGCCAGGCTCCAGTTACCCAGAGAATCCCGAGCTTCTCGTCTCGTCCGCCAGCGTCCTTACCGCAGCCACCAGGCCCCAGGGACACTGAGAACCCCGAGCGTCCCGCCTCGTCCGCCAGCGTCCATACCGCAGCCGCCAGGCCCCAGGGACACTGGGAATCCCGATCATCCCGCCTCGTCCGGCAGCGTCCCCACACCACGGCTGCCAGGCCCGAGTAGCCCCAATCGAATCTCGAGCATCCCACTGCGCCTGCCAGCGTGCATGCTGCAGCCGTCACACCCCAGCTACCCCGAGGCTGCCGAGCATCCCGCCCCGCCCGCCAGGATTCCGCTACTGATCGGACATGACAGATGTTACGGCGTCAGGTCGTCCACAGTCCGAGGAAGTGGAGGGGCAGCAGGAGCAGGAGCAGGAGGAGCAGCAAAGACAGCATGAGCACGACGGTGGCGAGGAGCACGAGGTGGCTGCCCTGCCACCCGCCCCCGCCTCGTGACCGCGCCGCCGACTCCGTCGCCGCCGCCGACGCCGTCGTCGACGCTTCCGTCGCCGCCGTTGTCGTTATCGCAGCCGCCGCGGCCAGCACATGTCGCCAACCACCGCTGCCGCCGTCGACGTCTTCGTGGCCCTCGTGGTCCTCGTCGTCGTCTCTCGCTAGCGCCGACGCCTTCGCCGACCATGCGCGCGCGGCAGCCGCGTGGTGCTGGCCCTCCCCGGATGGCCCTCGAAGATCCCTGGAGGTCTCCGTAGGCACGACGAATGCCAGAAACGTCCGAACCCTCCCCCCTCTATCGTCGAGGGCAACGCCGAGGATCGAGGGAAGAACGGCCGAAGACCTCCGTAAACCTCCGCCCTCGAGCCTCTCCGGGGCAACGTGGGGACCGGGGCTAGGCTCGGGGGGGGGCGCATCGACCCCCATATCGCCCATGGATCGCCGACAGGTGCCCGATGGCCCACCCCGCCCAGGCCCTATTCGGTTCCGCTATGGAGGGCCTTTCGCCGATCGGTCTGCGATGTGTCGACGGTTCCAGGTCGATTTTTCCCTCCTTGCCACCCCCTCCTATCGTTGCTCCTCGCCCTCGAGGGTCGAGGGCAGCCCCGACATCCGGAGCCTTGCCCTCGACCCTCGAGGCCTCTTCCTCCTCCTCCTCGTCTTCTTCCTCCTCCTCCTCCTCCCCCTCATCTGCCTCATCTTCCTCATCATCGTCCTCCCCCTCCTCCCCTCCTCCTCCTCCTCCTCCTCCTCCTCCTCCTCCTCCTCCTCCACTCTTCTCCCCCTCCTCCTCCTCCTCTTCCTCCTCCTCCACCTCCTTCTCGACCTCCCATCCTCCATTCTCCTTCTCCTCCTCCTCCTCTTACGTCAAACCGACCTGAGCGTGAACGCTGTGGCGTTTTCCTTCTCCTCCTCCTCCTCGTCCTCGATACTCGAGGGTCGAGCCTGGCACTCCGAGAGGCGCCAGCGGCGGCTCCGACTCGCTCGCGGACGAACTGCGGGCCGCGCAGCTGCAGGCGGCGCAGCTGCAGGCCGCGGCGCAGAAGGCCGCGGAGCAGGCCGAGCGCGACCCGTGGGCGCGGCGGCACGGCGGCCACCCCAGACCTTCGACGGTATGGTCTGAGGAAAATGTTGGAATCTTTGCGGGGCGCGCAATACCCAGACCTCCTACGTCGCGAGAAACTCACGACGAAGGTTTTTGACAATTTTCGGCTTCTGGATGCCCTCGCCGGGCCTCGGGAGCGTCAAAAACGACTCGGGATGAAAAGCTGGTCCCAGGGAAGGTCTCCAGACTTCGGATGGCCGACGTCGTGCGTTTCTCACGACGTCGGGGGTCTGGGTAGAGCAGAGTGAGGGGGCCGAACGGTCATTCACTGCCCCTTGGGTTGCGTGGCCGAAGTGGGCTTCCGCGGTGCGGGTTGTTGTTGGATTTGTTGCTGCTGCTGCTGGTGGTTGCTGTTGTTGCGGTCGGTTATGGTATTGCTTCTGTGATGGTTTGTTGTGGATGGTGGTGATGTTGTTGTTGGTGTTATTGTTTGTTTGTTTGTTTGTTTGCTTGCTTGTGTGCTTGTTTGTTTATTTGTTTTGTTTTAATGTTTGATGGCGTTGTCGTCGGTGCTGGAGACAGGTTCCATGGAGCGTGCGTGACGGCAGTCTTGGGCGGTGTGGGTGTGGTAGAACAGTCAGGGTATGATCGTCTCGATGCGTAGAGGGAGTTCCAGGACGGGGAGGGGCAGGGGGGAAGATGTTCAGGAGCATGCGTGCTGACAAAGCGGGGAGGCGAGGAGCAGGAGGAGGTGGAGGAGGGGGAGGACCCTCCCTCGTCTCCCTCCTCCTCGCCCTCCTCCCTCCCTGCGCATCTCCCTTCCTTTCTCCCAACTAGTAACTGAAAGCACCAGGCATGAGGGGAGGAAGCGGTCGTGACGGGGTACGAATGTGGAAGACATTGTTTTGCTGTTGTTGGTGACAATGAAGGACAATAAGATGATGATGGCGATGATGATGATGATGATGATGATGATGATGATGATGCTGATGCTGATGCTGATGCTGATGCTGATGATGATGATGGTGGTGGTGGTGGTGATGGTGATGGTGATGATGACGACGACCGTGATGACGATGGCGACAATACGAAGATGTTGATGCTGATGTTGATAGCGATGCTGACGATGATGAGGATGATGATGATGATGATGGTGATGATGCTGAGGAGTATGATGCTGATGAGGATTATGATGTGGATCGTGATGATGATGCTGATAAAGATGGTGATGATGATGATGATGATGATGATGATGATGATGATGATTATGATGATGATGATGATGATGCTGACGATGGTAATGATGATGATGATGATGATGATGATGATGATGATGATGGTGATGATGATGATGATGGTGATGATGGTGATGATGATGATGACGATGATTATGGTGCTGCTGCTGATGATGATGATGATGGTGATGATGATGATGGTGATGATGATGATGATGATGGTGATGATGATGCTGCTGCTGCTGATGATGATGATGATGATGATGATGATGCTGTTGCTGCTGCTGCTGAGGAGAAGGAATTTCGGGGTTAGAAGTGCGATTTGGGGAGTACGGGATGGGTTGGAAGTGGAATACGGGGGGTCGGTCGGGGGAAGAGGGGGAGGTGGGTGACTGGGGTGGCTACTGTGTGCGGGCTACACATCCGGAGCAGGGCAACACGCACCAAGGCAAGGAGACGGCGACACCATCGACGACGACAAAGATGGCTGAGAATGGGGAGGATGAGCAGGCGGGGTCAGGGACCGGAGGGGGCGCAGGGTCAGGAGGGACCGAGAAGGGAGAGGGAGCAAGAGACGCGAGGCAGGGGGGTGAGCCCCGCGTCCCCACGGCGAGGCCGCGAGGCTCCAGGCGGCACAGGCGCGGCGGGCGCTGCTGCAACGCCCCTCGGGGGTGGGGGGGGCCGCCCTTCTCTGGGCGCCATCCCTGCCAGGGCGGGCGACCACGGCGGCGGCGCCGCCGCCGCCGACGCCGACGCCGACGCCGACGTCCACGCCGACGCCGACGGCGACGACGCCGACGCCGACGCCGACGCCGCCGACGACGACGCCGACGACGACGCCGCCGACGACGACGACGTCCCGCACCCTCTCTCCTCCCTCGTCCTTTCCCCCTCGTCCTCGCTCGTGCCTCCTCTTCCCTCGTGCCTCGTCCTCTCTTGTCTCTTGTCCCTCCTTTTCCCTCACCTCTCGTCCTCCTGCGGTGGCGGCTACGATCACGACCATGGCGACGACCACGGCGACGGGGACGTCGAGAGGTGAGAAAGAATGAGAGAGAGAGGGAGAGAGAGAGAGAGAGAGAAAGAGAAAGCCAGGTGGAGGGTTGGAGCAGGAAGGATGATGAGGGTGAGGGGAAGCAGGTGGATAAGGAGGAGGAAGGGAAAGGAGCAGGATGAAGAGCATGCGGATGAGGGGTGAGGAAGAGAACAACGAGTAGCAGGAGGAGTAAATTGAGTCGGGGGGGAAGGGGAAGATTGAAGAAGGGTGAGGGGGGAGGGTAGTAGCAGGAGGAGCAACATGACAACACCAAAGAGGGCAGATGCTGTAGGATGTAACGAGCGGGATGGAGGATGCAGGAGTGAAGGTGGAGAACCGCGGCAGCGGGCTGGCGTTTGTTGGAGGAGGAGCGGCACCAGTCGCAGCAACAGCGGCAGTGGCAGCGGCAGCAACGGTTGACGAAGGGCCGCGCGTGTGCATGTGTGTTTGTCCGTGCGAGCGTGCTTGCGCTTGTTTGTATATGTGTGTGTGTGTGTGTGTTTGCTTGTGGGCCCACCTTCCCGCTCCCCTCGCGACTGCCCCTTCTCAAGTTTTGCGGCCGATCCGTTCTGGGCAGATCCAGCCTCGCCATGCTGCGTTAGCCGGCCCAGCGCGCGCGTTGCTTCTTGACCTGACCTGCGCCGCGCCCGCCGCGCGCGTGGCCGCGACGCCAAACAGTATGTGCGTGTGGGAAGTATGTGTGTGCAAGCTCTTCAGCACCGCCTGCACCCCGCGCCCTCCGGCCGCCTGAGGCCCCGCCCGCCCACGCCCTGTCTCCCCAATGTTGTGCTTTGCGCGGCCCGCCTGGCCCTTAACCGGAAGAGGCTCGCTCTCGACCCGCCGAGCAATAAGTGGGAAAGTCTGTGCGTTGTGCCCGTGGGCGTGCAGACATGCCCGAAGCCCACCCCGTGGCGTCATCGCCCCGCCCTTGACGGGCACCGGGCAGCGGGCAAGTGCGTGCTCGGGCTCTCGGTGGGCGCACCGTGTGCCGCGAATTTTTTGTGCTGGAGTGGGGGTGGGTGGGGAGCTTGGCATCGCTCGGACGTGTGCATTTTCTCTCGGCGAGGACCATCGAGGAGCATCCTTGATCATTTGGCGAAAAAGCCACGTACGAAACAAAACATAACACAGAGAATGGACGTCCGAGCGATGGCCCGTGGGGGGGGGGGGACCACGCGTCTGGAAATGCCGAGGCGGCCTTTTTATCCAAACCCGGGCTCCCGCCCGAGTGGCAAGCCCGCGGGTCGCTCGTCATGCGGGGGGGCTCCTCCCCAGACCCAGAAGGGAGCAGAAGCACGCACAAGGACTCGCGAAGAGGGGGCTGGTGACGGGAGGGTACTCTGCACTGTAGCGTCTTGGGCGCATCCTGGGTTCACTCTGGCCCCTCCTCCTTCACCCCTCGCCCGCGCGCTCCCGTGCGCACGAGGAGGAGGACGAGGGAGAAGGACGAGGAAGCGTAGCAGCGGCGGTGAAGGTACCACCGCATGCAGCATGCATAACAACATAATTCCAACTAGTTAGGGGCAAGGGTCCTCGGGGGGCGGCGCAACTTGCCGACTGCGCTCCCGCGCACGAGGGGCGGGGGGAGAGGAGGATGAAGGAGGACGAGAGAGAAAGAGTGAGGAGGAAAAGGAGGAGGAGGAGGAGGAGCAGGAGGAGGAGGAGGAGGTGGAGGAGGAGGAGGAGGAGGAGGTGGAGGAGGAGGAGGTGGAGGACGAGAGAAGTGGAGCTAGGAGGAGAGGGAGGAGAGAAGGAGGAGGAGGAGGAGGAGGAGGACGACGACGTCTCCCTCTCCCCAGGAGGGCCAAGGCCAAGACCCCTCCCAAGCCAAGGCGCAGCAGGCGCAGCAGCAGGAGCGCACGACTGCCCGAAGGAGCCGGAGCCGGAGCCGCAGCAGATGAGGCCGGAAACGCTGACGACGACGGCGATGACGACGACGACGTCTCGGGCGGGTGGTAATGGGGGATGGCCTACAGGGGGGGGTGGAAGAAAAGGGCCCTGAATCGGACCCTTTACATGGGGCTCCTTTTGGGCCCCTGCTGGCTCCAAAAGGGACCCGAAACGGTCCCTTCAGGGCCCTGTTCTCCACCCTCCATTTAGTTCACCCGTCAGTGCCACCCGCCCGAGACGTCGACTCCGTCTCCGGTGGCGCCCCAGGCTATTCGGGGGGCCTGTTCCTGGAGGTAGAACAGGGGTGCGGCATACAGAGATGTGGTGCCAATCGTGGATATGGAGATGCTATCTGCGATGAATAACCTCGCCACTTCATGCCAGACCCCTTCCATACCTCCAGACTGTTGATGCCAGCTGAGACCACTCGTGGGGCCTGTTGATGCCAGCTGGGGCTACCTGGGGGGGCTGTCTGCGCGCAGCCCGAAGCTTTCCCGGACGACGACGGCCCAGATCTCCGACCATGTCTCTTTTGCAACTGGCGCTTGCTGTAAGAATTCCGGCCTCGGGGCCCGAGTTCGGGCCCCCGAAGGGCTGCCAAAGAGGGTCTGGGACGCGGCGGCTCCCCCCAGGGAGCAGTCGGGACGTCTCGGGCCGCGGACGGCGACGACAACGGCAGCGACGACCGCGAAGCTCCCAGGGACTCTGGAGGTCCTGTTCCTCCTTCGTTCACACTCACACATCGGCTCCCTCTGCCTCCTGCTCCCTCTGCTCTCCTCTCTCCCCAAACTCCGTCCGGAAGACGGGCTGCTCTCTCCGAGCATTGTTTCAGACACAGAATTGGACAACGGTGTTGTGTTATCCTGTGCGCGTGTTCATTCTGAGTGTTTTCGGTGCTTCAAATGGTGCTCCCGCTGCAGCGTGGGCCTCATTTTCGAAAGCGTTCAGGATGGCTCTTTCCCCAGCGTGGACCACTTCTCTTGCTCTCAGTGTTTGTCTCATCGTTGTCGTCCCCTTGATTTCCCCTCCGCCGCCTTCCCCTGATACTCCTGCTCATCCCGCTCCCTCTCTCCAGTCCCAGCTGCTGCTGTTTGTCCTCGTCCTCCTCCTTCCACATCCTCCTCCTTTTCCTCCTTCTCATCCTCCTGCTCACCCGCCACCTCCTCGTCCTGCGTACGCAGCTCCCCTATTTCCGATTGCGCATCACACTATGTCACTATGGGGTCTTTTTTGGTGGGAGTTCCAGCTCGGCTTTGGCACGCGTCTGCGGATGGAGACGGACTGAGCGCAGTGGGAAGACATGGGACGGAGCGATGATAGTATGTCAGATGTGGCGCGGGCGCACGCCCCTCGTCTCTCTCCTCTCTCGTCTCCCCCCTCCTCCTGGAGACGACGACGACGACGACGACGACGACGACGACTTCGACTTCGACGGCGACGGCCCAGATCACCGACGATACGGCCCGAAACTTTGGCTTAGCGCGTCGCGCCTCCGGTCCTGGCCGGCCGCGCTTCGCCACGACACGCCAACCGCGCCCCCACCCCCACACGGCAACGTCCCGAGCTTTCCCGAGCCCTTGGCATCGCTCGGACGTGTGCATTTTTCTTTCGCCGAGGACAATCTAAGAACATCCTTGATCATTTGGCGAACAAGCCACGCACGAAACTGAAAAAAACACAGGGAATCGACGTCCGAGCGATGGCCAGAGCCTCCCGCGCCGCGGAGCGACGTCGACGGCGACGGAGACGACGACGGCGACGACGACGGCAGCGACGACGCCGAAATTGCCAAGAGCCTCTGAGGTCCTGGTCCTCGTGCTCTTCCTCCCTCGTACCTCGCCCTCTCTCTTTCACCCCTCTCTCGTTCCTCCCCGCTCCCCTCCAGCTCATCTTCTCGTCCTCCAGGCTGGCGAAGACGACGACGGCGGTGTCGACGACGACGGCCCAGATCTCCGACGGCCTGAGCTCTGGGCGTGTAAATTGTTGTTCGCAACGGGCGTCTCCGAGCGGTTTCGGGCCCCGGGACCATCACATCTCGATCTGGCTCGAACAATTGCGCAGAACGTGATCGTTTTCTGATTCATCGTCGTCGGAGGAGGATGAGGAGGGGGAGGAGGAGGAGGAGGAGGGGGAGGAGGAGGAGCAGGAGGACGAGGAGGAGGGGGAGGAGGAGGTGGTGGAGGAGGAGGAGGTGGTGGATGAGGAGGAGGAGGAGGAGGAGGATCGAACAATTGCGCAGAACGTGATCGTTTTCTTATTCATCGTTTTGCCGATCGGCGCGGGCCCTCGCACCCCCCTCGCCGCCCTCGCCCCCCCCCATGGAGTACACATTGCTCGTTTCTAAGTATTCGAAAGTTCTTTGATATTCTTGGGCTTATAATTGTTCTATCCTGGGCCTCTTCCTGGCCACTAGGTGGCCAGGAACAATTAGAAACGAGCACAATTTGAAACGAGCGCGATTAGAAATGAACAACGCGTGGATCTTGGCTGTTTTTGGCGCCTGTTTCGAGCAGGTCCCCCCCCAAGGACGCACTGCTGCAAGCAGTCGCTCCAAGCAGAGGTCCGGAGCCAGACCCCCCCCCTACACCCCCCTTCCACCAGGTGCCGAAACGCCGAACAGGAAAACGTGCACAAGATGGGGTCGGGTGCTCTGGTCGTGATTTTCCCCGATGGTTGCAATTGTGGCGCAATGTCGGACCTCGGGGTCCGACGATCTGCTTCTTGCAGCCGGCGTTTTCTCTTCGAAGTCGAGGCTCGGGGGCCATGTTCGGGCACCTGGGGGCCTGCAACTGGCCCCAGCGAGGCGATCGGGACCTCGTGGGCTGCGGATCGAACAAGAGCAGATCGACGACGGCGACGATGACGACAGCAGAGATTTGGTAGACTCCCGCAAAACTGAAAGGTCCGTCTTCCCCTGCTCCTTCTTCCCTAGTCTCTCTCTCTCTCTCTCTTTCTCTCCGCTGCTCTCCCGTCCTTCCGATCTCTCCCATCTCTTCTCCAGCTCCTCCCTTTCCCTCGTCTTCCAGTCTTCTTCCCAGCAATAAAAGCCAAGATCATCCCGCTGACGCAGCCAGAGCGCCAAGACGACGACGACGACGACGACGACGACGACGACGACGACGCCGTCAGCGAGTTCAGGAGATGGAGGAGGGGAGCAGATGGAGGGTATGGTGGGGATGTAGGTGGACGTGAAGAGGCACGTGGGGGAGGAGGTGGTAAAGGAGGATGAAGCGTGGGCGGAGGCGGCGGAGGAGACTGAGGAGGAGGAGGAGGAAGAGGAGAAGGAGGAGAAGGAGGAGGAATAGGAGGGAAGAAGGAGAAAGATAAGGAGTAGGAGAAGGAGGCCGAGCCGGAGCAGAACGGCGGGAAGAGCAGTGACTGGGAGAGTTCAGGCGGATGGTGTTGGGAGGAGAGTAGGACGAGGTGGAGGGGGGTGGAGGGGGGCGGAGATGGGATGAGGGGTGAGGAAGACAGGAGCGGGAAGATAAACTAGCGGAGCGTGATACCCTGGAGGAAGTGGATGAGTGACGATGATGCCGATTCTGATTATTATTATTATGATGATGATGATGATGATGATGATGATGCTGAATCTGATGATGATGATGATGATGAGGAGGAGGAGGAGGAGGATGAGGATGAGGATGAGGATGAGGATGAGGATGATGATGATGATGAGGATGATGATGATGTCGATGAGTATGCTGATGATGATGCTGATGATGATGATGCTGATGCTGATGATGATGATGATGATGATGGTGATGATGATGGTGATGATGGTGATGATGATGATGATGATGATGATGATGATGATGATGATGACGATGACGATGACGATCAGGAGGAGGAGGAAGAAGGGGAGGACATCGACCAGGGAGGGGAGGAGAGGAGCATAATGAAGGTGAGGCGGCGAACTAATGTGATACGAAGTGCGTGCTCTTTCCATACCGATGACGGTTCTCTACCATACGCTATTTCCTCACGCCGATGTGGACTTGCCGTATCACGGCCGGCTTATCACAAATATGAGGACCAAGTCGGGACGGGATCGCCCTGCCTTGCGAGGATCTGGCGATGAGGTCTGCACACTCTACACCCGAGTCTGGCATGTCCCTCTACAGGAGGAATTGTCGCGCGTCGCAAAAATAGCCTGGTGACGATTTGTCGTGCAAGTTTGGCTACTTTTGAACATCTGTTGACTACTGTTCACCTGTCTGCCATTCTCCGCCTGTAGGAGCACATGCCCGACCTAGCTGTACACATCCAGCGCTCGTGGCCAGGCCCCTCCCGAGCCCAGGATCGGTGCCCCGTGCCCCGTGGCCAAGCCTGGGTGGGCGCCTACGCCGCCTCTGGGCCGCGGGCGATAGGCCTGGCCAGGGGCGGCGGATCTGTCGGACCTCGTCTGGGCAGGAAGGGGACGGGTCCTGACGGAAACAGGGCTGTGGACCCCGGGTCTCTGCCCAGGACCAGCGCACCATCCCGAGCCGTGTCTGCTCCAGTCCTGGGTCTGTGAATACACATATATATATATATATATATATCATGGGGGGGGGCAGGCCCGGGGCCCGACAACAGCTGCCTCGAGCCTCCATGGGAGTACCGGGGCCCTGTGTTTTTACGAGTTTCGGCGTCCCGGGCCTCGGAGGCCGCCGCGTGGTCCCAGACATTTTCCAGATCCTCCCCCCAGGACCAGCGCATCGTCCTGAGCCGTGTCTGCTCCAGTCCTGGGGCCTGCGTGGGACCCGGAGAGCCCGAGACTGCGGGAAAAAAGCCTCGGGACCCGCGTCTGCCGGGACCCGTCTGCTCCGTCCCGATCGTCCCCCTGGATTTTGGACGCCCGACATGGGTACGGACAAAAATGGGTACAATGCCCAACAACAGATGTTGCCCCAAGGCAACAGCTGCCGCTGTTGGGCACGCGGCCTTCTGTCTCACATGTGCACAAGCCGCTGCGACACCGAGAGCGAGTCCTGTTCAAAATGAACAGGAACTGCTTTTGGGCATTGAACCCATTCTTCTTTCCGTGCCCATGTCGTTCGTGCCGGTGGATGGGCGGAGCGCCCGCTGCCGCGAGGCTGGGCTGCGGCGGCTGGGCCGCTGAGCCGCGGGGGGGGTGCGACGGGCGGGCGGGCCCCCGCGCGAGCAGGCGCTGTGGTCGGTCGGTTCGCCTGGGCCGCCGAGGCCGGGAGGTCGGGAAGAGAGCACGGTCGGGGCTGGAAAGCGGGCGTGCGGCGTGGCGCCGCCGGCCCGCTGATTTCTCACGCGATCCCCCACCTTGGGGGCTCCTCCGCCTCCTCCCCCTCCTCCTCCGCCTCATCCTCCTCCTCCTCCTCCCCCTCCTCCTCATCCTCCTCCTCCTCCTCCTCCGATAGCGTGCACCGAGAAAGCCGTGGCAGGGTGATATCGCAGGGGGGATCGCCTCTCAGGGACAGCATTTGTTTTTTTTTTGTTTCGGAGGTCGATGTTGCACGCTATCTGTCCAGCGTCCGCCGTGTCCACGGTCTGCTGCCGTTGGTAGCCCGTCAGCATATTACCTCTTCGTTTCTATCTGAAGGCCTCGTGTCTCTTCAGTAATAAGAGGCTGATGGGCACCACATGGCAGGGTGCTTGTCGATCCGGTTGAAGCCGTTCGGATCGATCCGATCGATCTTCGCCGATATTGATTCGCCACGCAGGAAGCGGGTCCTGAAGGAAACGGATCCTGAGTGTTGTTCGATTTGTTTTGGCTTCTCGAGGCTATCCCAGGGCCCCAAGACCGTCAGAACATGATTCAGGAGGAAGACGTGGTCCTTGGGAAATGCCCCGGGTCCAGGACCCGTTTGCCTCGTGACCCGGTTCTTTCATGCTAAGCCGATCCATCTTCATGTTTATATTTAAACATCTATGACAAGTACGCCCCCCCTCCCCGGGTGTCCCATACCTCCCCGTGACATCTGCCATACGCTCCTCGTACTGCGCTTCCTGGCCTCCCGGGGATGCCCCAAAACGCCTACGGACAGCCACAGACGACCCCAAGAAGCCCCCAGAATGTAAAATAACGTCGCAAGACGCTCACAAGCAACCCAAGATAGCGTTCGGTCGGCTGCTCAGGCTCCCAGGAGGCCTCCAAGAGACCTCAAGAGAGCTCCGAGAGGCCTCCCGAGGGCGCCCAAAGAAACTAAAATCCTTGATTTCAATTTATTGTGCTAGGAGACGTACCCAACCCCTTTAAGCATGTGATGAGAATACATCGGATCGCAATACAAAGCCACTATTGAATGATCCGCGATGCCCTTGAAAGCTTCGCCAAAGAACGTCGGGCCAGACTCATATAGTTCACATATGCGGCGTCACTCTTAAAAGTCAGGTCGTTGGCAGTCGAGCGACCTCGAAGGGGCGTGGCAACATGTGGGGGAGGGACGATTTGACACATAATCCGTGGGAGTAGCAGAGCCTTGCGGCGCTCGCATTGCAGGACAGCGCTCTGCGCGCTATGACAGTACAGCGCTTTGCGCTACACGTAGCATGTGCACGCGCGCATTACAAACAACAGGCAGCTGAATGAGGGATGCGACATGGGCAATGGACAGCGCCATGCACTATTCGTTGCGCGGCGCTCGCACACGCCGCGTCACTCCGCTGGCCCTGCAAGAAGCCCACGAAAGTGGCGACAGTTTCGCAGATCGCAGGCCCCTCAGGGGACGGCGAGGTCTCGTAGTGATCTGCGGAGGGCGTACCTCCGCTGGGCCTCCCAGAAGCCCGCGAAAGTGGCGACGGTTTCGCAGATCGCAGCCCCCCAGGGGACGGCGAGGTCGTGCGGTGATCCGAAAAGGACGTAATTACCTCCGCTGAGCTTCACAGAAGCCTACGAATGTGGCGACATACTCGCAGATTGCAGGTCCCCCAGGGGGCGGCGAGGTCTCGTGGTGATCTGCGTCCCCCGCTGGGCCTCCCAGGAGCCCACGAATGTAGCGACAGTCTCGCAAATCGCAGCCCCTCAGGGGGCGGTGAGGTCTCATGGTAATTTGCGTATGACGTGCCTCCGCTGGCCCTCCCAGAAACCAAAGGGCGACAGTTTCGCAGATGGCTGGCCCCAAAGGTGGCGGCGAGGTCTCGTGGTGATCCGCGTATGACGTCACTCTGCTATCCCTTCCAGAAGCCCACGAATGTGGTGACAGTTTCGCGGATGGCAGCCCCCCAGGGAGGGGTCGGCGAGGTCTCGTGGTGATCTGCGTCTGACGTACCCCCGCTGGCATTCCAAAAAACCCACGGGAGTGGCGACGGTTTCGCAGATCGCAGCCCCCCCCCCCCAGGGGGCGGCGACGTCTCGTGGTGATCTGCGTAGGACGCGCCTCTGCTGGCCCTCCCAGAATCCAACGAAAATGGCGACATTCTCGCAGATCGCAGACCCCCGGGGGACGGCGAGGTCCCGTGGTAATCTGCGTAGGACGTACCCCCGCTGGGTCTCCCAGGGGCCCACGAAAGAGGCCACGCATTCTCAGTTCGCAGCCCCGTGGTGATCTGCGACGTACCTCTGCTCGTGGTCTCGTGGCGATCTGCGTAGACGTAGCGAATGTGGCGACAGTTTCGCAGATCGCAGCCCCCCAGGGAGGGGTCTGCGAGGTCTCGTGGTGATCTGCGTATGGCGTACCTCCGCTGGCCCTCCCAGGAGCCAACCAACGTGGCGACATACTCGCAGATCGCAGGCCCCCAGGGGACGGCGAGGTCTCGGGCGATCTGCGTAGGACGTACCTCCACTGGGCCTCCCAGGAGCACGCGAACGAAAAGCCGACAGTTTCGCAGATCGCAGCCTCCCAGGGAGGGGTCGGCGAGGTCTCGTGGTGATCCGCGTAGGACGTACCTCCGCTGGCCCTCCCAGAAGGCAGCGGCAGTGGCTACATTTTCGAACACGAGGTCTCGTGGTGATCCGCTCAGGACGTCCCTCCGCTTGCCCTCCCAGGAGCCCGCGAAACTGGCGATTTCGCAGATCGCAGGCTCCCAGGGGACGGCGAGGTCTCGTGGTGATCTACGTGGGACGTACCTCCGCTGGGCCTCCCAGGAGCCCACGAAAATGGCGAATTTTTCGCAGGTCGCAGCCCCCCGGGGGGCAGCGAGGTCTCGTGGTGATCTGCGTATGACGTGCCTCCGCTGGCCTTTCCAAAAACCAGCGACGATGGCGACAGTTTCGCAGATCGCAGCCCGCAAAGGGACAGCGAGGTCTCGCAGTGATCTGCGTATGACGTACCTCCGCTGGTCCTCCCAGGATTCAACGAACGTGGCCACAATTTCGCAGATGACAGCCCCCTGGGAAACGGCGAGGTCTCGTGGTGATCTGCGTAGGACGTACCCCCGCTGGGCCTCCCAGGGGCCCACGAAAAGTGGCGACATCTTCGCAGATCGCAGCCCCCCCAGGGGACGTCGAGGTCTCCTGGTGATCTGTGTAGGACGTACCTCCGCTGGGCCTCCCAGGAGCCCGTGAAAGTGGCGACAGTTTCGCAGATCCCAGCCCCCCCAGGGGACGGCGAGGTCTCGTGGCGATCTGCGTAGGAAGTACTCCGTTGGGCCTCCCAGAAGTTCACGAAAGCGGCGATAGTTTCGCAGATCGCAGCCCCCCAGGGGACGTCGAGGTCTCGTGGTGATCTGCGCAGGACGTACCTCCGCTGGGCCTCCAAAAAGCCCACGGAAGTGGGGACAGTTTCGCAGAACGCAGCCCCCCGGGGGACGGCGAGGTGACGAGGCAGGGATGAGGAGGAAGAACACCAGAAGAATAATGGAGTGAGGGAGGAAGGTGAGGAGGAGGAGGAGGAGGAGGAGAAGGAGGAGGAGGAGGAGGAGGAGGAGGAAGAGGAGGAGGAGGAGTTGGAGGGGGCGGAGGCGGAGAAGGAGGAGGTGGGGACCACAGTGCTCTATTCAAAACGAGCACCCAACACAGGACGGTTGGGGACAAAAGTTGTTGGCCTCCGCTTCCATTGAGTACAGTACAATACATCGCACCACTTCATGCTTTTAACGCTCAGAAGCGGCCCAAGAGCCACCCAAGACGGCCCCAAGACGGGTCAAGAAAGCCCCAAGACTACCGAAGTTGCGCCCAGGACAGCTCCAGACCACCCCAGAACAGGCCCACGATGAACCCAAAAGCGAGAGCAGGAGGCTTCCAGAGACCTCCGAGAGGATTCCGGAACCCCCCAGAGGCCCCCAGCACACCCCAGACCCCTGAGGGGCTCAAACAAGGCCCCGACGAGGCCCCCAAAACAACCCAAGAGAGCTTCGAGAGCCGTCCCGAGAGAGCCCGAAGAGGGTAAATCCGTTGATTTCCAACGGTTTGTTTTAATCGTGTTTCGCCTTCTCACGTTTTCCCGCTCCCAACGCTCAAAGATTGAGCAACTTTGTTTATTTAAGAAAGTTCCAGAGAAATCGTTTTTTCTTAACAGATACGCCCCCCCCCTCCTGGGGGCCCCACACCTCCATGGAACATCTGCGGAACGCTCCCGGTACCGCGCTTTCTGGCTCCGGGAGCCCCAAATCACGCAAGGACAGCCCAAGACGACCCCAAGAAGCTTCCAGAACGTAAAAGAAAAGCTCAAGACGCTCCCAAGCAGCCCCAAATAGCCTTCGGTCGGCTCTCCAGGCTCCCAGAAAGCCTCCAAGAGACTTCGAAGACCGAGGAACTTGAAATTATACCTGGGGGCGCACCCAACCATTTTTAGCATATGGCGAGTATACATCGGATCGCCCAGTACAAAAGCCATCATTGAATGATCCGCAATGCCCTTGAACGCTTCGCCAACGAACGTCGGGCCAGACTCAGATGTTTCACATATGCGGCGTCACTCTCAAAAGTCAGGTCGTTGGCGGGAGAGCGACCTCGAGGGGGCGTGGCAACATGTGGGGGAGAGACGATTTGACACATAATCCGTGGGAGGAGCAGCGCCTTGCGCTGTGTTTGCGTTTCAGGACAGCGCTCTGCGCGCTATGACAGTACAGCGCCTTGCGCTAAACGTAGCATGTGCCCGCATGGATTACAAACAACAGGCAGCTAATGAAAGGATGCGGCATGGGCAACGAACAGCGCCATGCGCTATTCGTTGCGCGGCACTCGCGCACGCCGTGCTACTCCGGTGGGCCTCCCAGGAGCCCGCGAAAGTGGCGATTGTTTTGCAGATCGCA